CATCTCATTTTCTTTCCGAGGGCACCCATGAATGCGCAAGTAAGATGAAAACTACCCATACGTACAATTACATCACTGAATTCTTCTGGACTCTGCCACACAAGAGAATAGACCTTCTTGGCAACAGCGAGATCGAACGTTACCACTGTGTATTGCTGATGCACTTCCCGTGATGCCTGTTGTGATAGCTTTAAAATATGCTGTACGGTCGCATTTTCGGTGACGGGTGCAAAGACTGGAGCCATATAGTCAATAGCAGATTGCTGTACAGATGAATTCTTGCTTGTTTCTGTCAACGACACCCACCCTGCCCATGGAGGGACAACCTGAGCAGCGTGACACAGGACCCCTGAACGACACAAAAACCACAGAGTGTCAGATGATTGAGCCCTGGTTTCATCCAGAGTGCAAGCTGCTTCTGTCTTAGAGACTGTTATATTTGGCTCGACCTTGTTTTTTGCATAGCAGGGCTCAATGTTTTGTGAAGTGCATTTCGCAGATCGGCTCTTTGTTCTAGCCTGATCAAATTCTTCTGGGGATTCTGAAATGTTTTCTTTGGCAGTTGAAACTTCCTGGATGATAATGCCATGAGCAGTATGTGTTGTACCTGCACCTGATGGTGTTTCTTCCGTCAAGTCGAAGTTGTCCCAGCACAGGTGTGTAACTAAGTTTCTGTTTGGGCTGATTGTCGATGGGATAACACCTTGTCGCTCATCTATAGCTTTGCACATAGCTGTTTCTAGCTCTATAACTCGTGAGTAGGAAGCACAATGACCAAATCGATTAACCAGTGTTATGACTTCAGCACTACCAGTCAAGTGTCCCAATGTCATTCCAAGAAGTAGATGCTTTGGCAGCGTCCACTTCCCATTCGTAACAGCTTTGCAGATGTCTTGGGCAAAAGAAGTCACCAATCTTTGCCTGTTTTCAGAACTATCACTCTTCACAGAAAGCAAGCACTCTAGAAATGTCTCAAGGCATGAAGGTCGCCGTACATTATCACTTACGAGGAAGTCTGCTGATGGGGGCCGTGGCATTTCCTCAGCCTCAGCGTACACAACCTGAATGGCCCTTCGTAAAATAGATGCCGCCTCTTGAAGTCTCTTGGTTTCAGAGGCTGCTGCCTCAAACGCAACTTCAATCGCTTCGCCTTTGGTAATATCTGATGCATACACCAGCTCACTTTTGTAATTTGGTTGCCAGAACTGAATTGAGCTTCCAAATCGCTTCACTAATTTTTATTTAAGTTTATCACTTTTGTAATCAGGATTATAGCAGTCTGGGTTATTATGCAAAATGGAGGTAAGATACCGTTCTCGAAGCATCGACATTCTCTCCACGTTCCCTCCTGAGATAATTGATGCGTTTACATGTTCACATAAATTCTCAAATGCAGCCTTGTGAGCAGCCTCTACATCTGCCTGGCCGCCTAGTTCTTCCTTTTTAGGTACATCATGCCTTTCTTCTGAACGAGTGTAGCTTTTCTGGCATGAAGCATGATAGTGTGCTTCTTTGGCAACTAGGTCAATATCCTTAATCTTGAGTAAAATGAATTCATCTTGCTTTGTCTCTGCGGCCCTCTTTATTGATTCTTCGGCTGTTTTAGTAACACATTTGACTAGGTGCTCCTCTTTTCCTGACTTCCTTATCCGGTCTTTGTCGCAAAAGAGACACTTGTCAGCTGGTAATAGCCTTGATGGTGTCGAAGCTGAATGTTGTGACACTCTGCGTCTTTTCACCGAACTTTCTCCGAACTCTGAACTGGTGTTAGGTGCTTCCTTTTTGCACTTCATAATTCTGGACACATTCATAAAACGTTGATAACAAGACCTATGGTATCCATATTGGGCTGACAGAAATGCGCTTGGTATATTTGAGCAAATATTATCTAGTCTGTTTTCACTATCTTGTGATTGCCTCACTTCAGCAGCTGCTTTGATTTTTTGAAAGCTACTTTCTGTCATAACAGTAATACTTTTGTCCTTGACGTTCGCAAAATGAATGAAGCATCCTTGAACTTTCTTTTTTCTTTTTCGTTTTGTTGATTTTAGACTTTTGATCTTCAAAGCCTTCTCACCCTGAACTTTGTCTTCTTTTTCCATTAGAACTTTCTGAAGCAGTAAAATCCCTGAAATCGCCAAATATCAACGAACTTACAATTAATTGAATTTAAACGAGCCTTAGAAAGCGTCGCACAAAAAGAAAACGCCTAACTCTTTGCATCTGTAACTAAAATATATAAATATTGCATCAAATAGCTGATAATATGAGTAGGTATACCTGTAAAAACATGTAACACACACAGCATCGGTTTAAAGATTTCAAACAAAGTTGATGAAAGGACTTTTTTAAAGAAATAATGCTGATAAAAAGGATAAAAAACTCCATTTCCAGACTGAAATAAATGCAACCGTCTTTGCCTTGACATCTCTTTTCTTATTATGATAAAAGAAAAGTAATAATTCATTTTATGAACGCTCTCCAAACAGAAAAGATATTGAATCAAATAGCTGATAACATGACTAAATTGTAAAATATTGAATAGACACGGCAATTCTTTAAAGACTTCGATCAAAGTTAGTTTTCGGACATTAAGTTAATATTAACGATGACGAAAATGATCAAACAGTTTCATTTTCTGGACTTAAATAAAGATGGCTGTTTTTACAGTGATGTCTAATTTGTTTGTTAATGTAAGATAAGTACTTATTCATTCAAAAAAACTTTTTACAGAGCAAAGAAGTATGATATCTTACTAACTTACCTTTCAGTTTTTCCAAAATGGCGTATCTGAATCTGAGTCTTAAAGGATTGTGGGATAGGAAAAAAGGTGGACTGTGCCTCATGGGATATCAAATAAAGAAGTTTGATATGCGTCTTGAAATAAAATGCACGAAATGATTAACAAGTTTTTTGGTTACAACTAATGTACCATAAAAAGCTTGAACAAAATATTTAAATGCTGCCCGAGTGCTGTGGAAAAATTATCGTGCTTTACTTTAGAGGACCTTACTAAGCGCTGTTGACGTCTCCTCGGCTTGAACATATCGCATAAGCAGCAAACTAGGGATTACTCATCATTTACTAGCTAATACATTCTCATTGGCCAGTAACTACCAAAATTTCACGTAGGTTAGACATTTTCAAGAATTTTTTAAAGAGTTTGTCGTAAGAGGTGTTAGTTACGTATCCAAGTAAAGGCTAACTTAAACTTGTGACATGCGCAGTAGTAGTTTTTGGAACTTAAAAGTAAAGTACAGAATTTTCACTTACATATCAGATCAAAGAAACGTTACCTTATATAACTCTAAGTGTTATTTTTGTCGGTAATGGTGTTTCAGAAGAGGTTAACTCACCTCTTGGTGTGGGTAACCTGTGACTCTTTGCTGTGGAAAAGAATGGTGCTGCACAGCCACACCCATCAACCAATCAAGTGCAAACATGCATTTTTCAAATACCCTCAGGTGAAGCTTTGAAATGATACCTGTCTGCAAAAATCCACGAGGGGGGGAGGGTTTCACTTTCTGGCCCACGGACTAAATATGCTTCCCTTATGCGTATTCTAGGGAAATACCATTCCTGAGATATCCATAAATGGACAGGGGAGGATGGGAAGGAACACAAATGCCCATGGCATCCTCAGATGGTTTGTTCATGTGGCAAGTGTGACAAGGGAGGGTTGGGTAGTGGGGTATCAGGTAGTGCAGTAAGTGTAGGTAGTGGGGCAACAGTAAGTGCAGGAAGTGGTGCCGGTAGTGGGGTTACAAGAGGTGTAGGAAGTATTAGGCAGGCTAGTTTAGATGAGGCAGATCAGGATAGTGACAGTGAAGGTAGTGTAGACAGTGAAGATAGTGATGGCGAGTACAACACAAATTTTTCTTGTTCTGGTAAGCATTATAAAGTAAAGAGGAAAGTACTAACATGTGACCTTCACAGCCTTCTCTATGAGATTGAATGCAATCGCATTACAGAGAAGGCAAACAAGGTCATAGATCCTGTTATGGGTAAGAGGCACTCAGATTTGCCTGAGAGTAAATTCCATGTTCTTTCTAAGTTCAGGCCCAAGGATGTTAACTTACACCAACTTCATTATGAGTTTTCAACAAATCTGGGTCTTTGTCAAAGTAACATGACATTTCTTGTCTAGCGTAAAGGCAGTTCATACCACTGGGTCAGGGATAACCAAAGATGGGCCTTCCAGAAGTTGATGGTCTGGATGACATTGTGACCAAAGAAAATGTGGAGAGAATGAGGAGGCTTGAGAGACAGAAAACGGACAAGGCAAAAAAGCAGCTGGTCACCTTCAAACAGAATCGGCAACTGGAACGGGAAAAGAGGTAACATATATTTAAAAATTTTGCACATGGATTAGTACTCTACCTACTGTAAAATGATTATGTTTGTTATAGGAAGTTTTAGACAGTAGGATGTCTTGAGTAAATATCAAATGTCACTAGGCTGATAATGGACCTTTGTCGAGAGGCAGCCATTTTGTCTCAGGAGATTTAAAAAGCTTTGTTTTGCACCCCTAGCCTCGTAGATAGAACGAGGCTAGGAGGACCTAGGAGGTCCATTTTGTCTGGTTTGGGGTACCAGTAACAGCTGGACCAGCATGCAAAGAAAGTCGTGTCCGATAGCCCGGGGCTAGTGGATTTTGCTATCAGGCTAGTGATTTTTGTTCTTAACTTGTTCAATGGGCAAGTGCTGTTTTTTGGAGAAATTCAAATTACAGAAGGATTGTAATCAATGCTGCTAATCAAAAAAGGTTTTGGGGCTAGTTGAAATGAATTGTGGGCTAGTACATGCTAGCTACAGCTTGCCCGAATGGCAGGCTGTAAAAACTGACTTTCTTTGCACCCTGTGGACAATGTGTAATTTTTAGGACTCCATATAAAACAAAACTGTTTAGAAGTATAACATTAGTAAGATAGGGATGGCCATGAAGCCAAAAGAGGCTTGTTAATGAATAGTCCAAAAATTTTTTTTTCTGACCAGAACAATCCAAACTAATAAGAAGTTTTCTGTACTGTGTTTTATTTAGACGACAATACACAAAACGTCAAAGAATCATCCACATGTATGGCCAGACAGCTGATGAGGAACTCAATGAAGAAGCTACAAGGGCAGTTGAGGAAAATTTACAAATGCAACAAACTCAGGCAGCTACTAAAGCTTGTGTCTGTGGTGGCACAGACCATTTGCGAAGGTCAAGTGTGCGCTGCGCATTAAATAAAAAAAATCAGTGACTGACAAGGGCAAATTATTTGTCACAGGCAGTATTTTAATGTAACTGTTAATAATATATTTGTAGAAACTGATAGTGTTTTGGTCTTTATGTGCAGAAATGGCTTTTTAAAAAGTGGCAAATAATATGATTTTAATTCTCAAAGGGGAAGGTGGGGGGGGGGGGGCAAGGCAAGTGCCGATCGCTTGTTATATTCATTCCATGTGTGTTAGAAGTAGATTATGCACCCCCCACTTACACTCGACATACCGATTTGAACTGTTTCATCTTTAAACCAAAATTTTAGTCCTACTTGTACACCACAAGTTGATGTAATCCACCCGATATCACGTCGTTTCACACAAAAGTCAATTCGCCCGGACTTAGGTCATTCACCCGATGTATATTTGTTCTTCTTTAAGCCTTAACTCCGCGCGAAATGCCATCTGGCGAATTGACTTGCGAGTGAAACGACCACAATTCAGTCCACACAATGAGCATATTTACCGGTACTTGTATTATGGTTTTTTACCCACAACAGGTTGGGTCAATTTTTGTTAGTTTGTAGCCTAGAAAAATGCTGTCAAAATACTTCCACATAAATGAGACTTGCCTGCACCAAAAGTGCTGTTGCACTGCAACAGCTGTATTTGATCATTTTATTTTTGTCTTTGTACTCTACCTATGTAGATTTTCCACTTTTATGTGCTGTTTTGTTGTATTTCAGCGTGAAAATGGTGTTGGGGATGGCAGCTCCCTACTATATCCCCCGGTTGTAGTTGACGTGATACGTCATCTTTATCTGGGGAATATAAAAGACTATGCCCCCAAGAGTAAAAAGGTAGGGAAAATGGATTGTAATACAAATAAGTCAAAGAGAGTACCTTTTACTTTGTGTGCATGCATATAAGATTTCAGTGTCAGCACTACCTAATATCAAGATATATTTTAAGGTTTTAACTGCTCAATTTTTTGAGGGAGGAATTTACTCGTCCAAGGGTAAGTTTTTTTTTTGCAAAAATCAATGTCAGCTTGGTTCCTCTTCATCTTATGTAATATTTGCCTTGTTTCAAACTCATTTTCCTACTACAAAACCATATTCAAGAAAAGGTGCAATTAAAATTTCTCCCCAGGACGAAAATGAACCAAAACATGTTCAGCCATCAAAAGTACAGATATAACAGTCCTGAATGGGCCATTACCCTTTACCAATATTCTCCTGGCATGTGTGTTTACCTTCATTTTACTTATCTTTTGGACTGGAAAACCCAGATTCTGAAGTCAAGGAGAGGAAAATTTAATTTTTAATTTCACTTTAATTTGTTTCACGAGAATAAAATATTACAATTCTTAACTTCTCGTGTATCTGGTTAATGTGTTACTGTACTGATATATTTCAATTGAAATATAATTTTTTTCAAGCAGTGTTGATGCATTCAGTAGAAAAAAAGGAATTGATATGTGAGAACAGATCTAGCAAAATAGAAGAAACTCAAAAAGAGATTATTGAGAATTATCCACAGCTCCCACAGGGAAAAAAACTTGGAGCAGCATGACACTATTGTCAATGTTTCTCAAATGCCTACTGTATGCATGAGCAATGAAAAGGCTTTACATCTAAACTAGTTGACACGGAAACGCATGTGAAAACAAGCTAAAAAATTTCACACCTTTCACATACAATGCCTCACTAAAATGATGCTTACTTTCTCCTTACATCATAAATTCCTCACCAGAACAGAGAGGAGTGCCACTGGAGTGCTGGGAACAGCAGGACAAGGAGAAAAACTTTACCTTCCGCCAAAAACGTATACAGCGATCTGTATATGTAGGATCTCGTGTCCTTGTTGCTTGCGTCCGGTTTGCAGCTTTGAGTCCTGTCATCTAACAACAAATTTTAAAATTTCATTGGGATTTCATCAAAACTGAAAAGAAAGAAAAACGATGTTAGAATTTTATGAGATCTGGATAACTCGGAAATGTTGCAAATAGTAGGAATTTCGGTCAAAGCGACCGTATTTTCCAGATATTTTGTAAACACTTACCCTCAGATGACGTTCGAATAGTATCCCATGGTGCATTTTTCCAGAAGCATCACGCAATATCGCAGTGGTTGCAGATTCCATCTGAAATAAGGTCCTTTTCTCGTCAGCTTTTTTCTCATTCGATTTCCAGTAAAACTAAGAAAATTGCATTATTTCGTTATTTGACATGATTTCTCCGATTTGCAATGGCTTAAGAGCGAATTTTCCACATAGAAACATTTATTTTCATGGTTTCAATTAGTGTTCCCATCACAGAGTGTTCAGTGACCCACAACAAGGTCATGAATATTCAAGATTTTCCGGAATGTATGTTGAAATCTTCCATGCCAGAAAAATGAATTCCTGAATATTGTACAGGGTAAGAAGTACCCAGAAGTACCCACATTTTGAAGACTTTTTTATCGACCAAAGATGGCTGAAATTTGGAATCTTTTATCACATTTCAACGCCGTGTGTGATAATATATGGGTAAAGTCAGCTGAAAGCTACAATCTGTTGGGCGCTTTCGAGAGCGCTTTATGCTGAAGCAATCACTTTGTATTTTCAAAGTGGTTATTTCTAAAGGGAATGTGACTATAATTATTTTAATTCGAAGATGGAGCTTTGACTATAAATGATGTGTTTCAGTGTGATAGGAACCAAAAGAAAGTTGCCACGCAGCATGCAAGCCGGCACAACGTAAACAAGCCTGTTCAGAATTTGAAAAAGAAGCATCAGAAACTTTATTTATTCAAAAGAACAGATCAGTATTCTGGCCAGGAAATTTCCTTGAAGATGCTTGAGTCAGTACTGGGTAGATTGTGTCAGAGGATTGTTTGTCGCATCGATAGGTTAAATTTTATTTGTAACTGCCATAAATTGAGCTCCTGTGAGCGCTATACCGTAATAAATCCTCCCTTGGTAATTAGCTTCACAGCGTAGCAGTTGTTTTTGTTGAAGCCACTTTTTAGATCAGTCATGGTTTTGGTTCTCCTTAGGCATGGGTTCTCCTAGTGAACCTAGCGAAGCTTATCAGTTGCCGAGTCTTATACGCTGAAATTCTCCTTTAAAGCACAGTGAATATAAGCCAACTCGAAAATCTCAAAAGCAGAAGCTGCTGAACCGAATCATGTTTAGAAACCATCCACAACGAGCACTGAGATGTTCACTTCATGCGTGCTGAAGATTACTGATCATGATGTGTCACGTACGTAGTGATAATATAACATGAAACGAGGTGCATCATGGGATACTATTTGATCGTCGTCTGACTTACCCTAGTTCGGTACAAGCAGCCTTCAAAGGCGCGATCGACTCCTCCGCATGGTTAATCTGCCACATCAAGGAATATCTGACAGAGGTCCAGCTTGAGCTGGTACTGTAGTCTTAAGCACTGACACTGGTTGAGGGTGCTGCCATGTAACTACTGATCTCCTGTGATTAAAAAACATTAGGAACTCACTATCTATGTGATACGCATTTTCAAGCCATTTGATAAGTTTTTTTGACTGTTTAATTACCTTGGTAAACACATCTCGGCTTTGTGCAGTGTTAAAAATAGGTCAGGTGACTGGTATATTCATTATGCAACTTACATTTTCAAAGTATTACTGATGTTGCATTAAAAATACAACACTTACTTGCTATAGCCTCATATAGAACAAAAAAATTGTAAGTTAATATTTGCCTTTATTTGGCAAAGCTAGTCTTAGGCAAATCTATGCGCTCTGATTAGTTGTTTCTCGGTCGAGATTTTGCAGTACTGACCGTATCCTTGGAAACAGAAGGAAACGGTCCAAGCAGGGTATTACCTGTTTTGGAGCAAAGCCAGCAAATTCAACATCTACAACCGAAACAGCAAAGAAAATTCGGTATATTGTCATTCTTCACAGCGAAACTGTGAGAATTCAAAGATGGATGAAGAAGACGAACATTCTTCGAGTCAGGTTTATTATCCTGAGGAACTGGAAACGTTTGAGCATCATTTATTGTTATTAGTACTTAATTGGGATATGATTAAAAGTCATTGCACTTGAAGTGCCTCTGCTTCTTACCAGAGATCACTGCCACAGCCAGCTCTAAATTCTTCAGGGTTGCATCTTGACTATATTCCTCCTTTGCTGTTTTCAAGTCAATATCTGTACACCAGGTTTCACATTGTTTGCCTTTCTTTGGGAGCCAAAATATTCCAGCTTTGAGGCAGACATGAGGGACTTGTTCTCGGAATCTTTTTTATACTACTACATGGAAAGTTTCTGCAATTTGATTGGTTTAGAGTAGTGGTATTTCAGCTTAATTTGAAATACCTACACGTGAAAATGACAAACCTTTTGCGGGTAGTAGTATAATCAAATAATAGCATGATTTGTACGTGATATTTTCCACAAATACCTCTCGTCATATTTCAATTGTCCCTAATTTTCTCTACACTAGTGGAACCCTCCATGAGCACGTATAGCCAGAACACCGAAATTGATTGTCCAGTAAGAGCCTATAGGTTGTGGTTCAATTTTCAAACCAGTTTCATTTTTTGAAACTGGTTTTATTTTTTCAAACTCGGACTGAGAGTATGCTAACATGATATGCTAATTTATAAGGATAGTAGAAAACTATTTTTACAGTATATTGCAATTTTTATCGGCACATGACAAATTCTCTTCAAAAATGTAGCTCAAGGTGTTCAGTCCTATCTGTGAAGAAACCTTGATTATTAAAAACAAACAAGCACAGACCTCCTTTCGGCTACAGCAATTCTTTTCCTTTCCATCTCTGAAGTAGGTTTCAGCAACAACACCACAAATCCCACATATGGTGTCATCAAGTTTTCTCTTGGTTATCATTTCAAAGTAACAGAAACCATTATAGAGAAGGTCAACAACATACTCCCGCGACACAGATACCCTCTGAAAAACACCAAATATTACAGCTAAATTGAGCAAGGAGTTACATTGTACGTAACAAAATATTTAAGGGAAATTTATAAACAAATCAACTGAGGAAATCAATAAAAATACGGACAATTCAAAATAAGTTGCAATAAAAAATTTGCTTATACAAAAAATAGATATTTTATTACGTCATGCATAAGATACCTTTAGAGCTTTCCGTAAAATATTCGCCAGTTTGCTTTCAATAGAGTGGTCAGGGGCACACCCCTTTTGAATTGTTCCCTCAAATCAAGGAATGTGGCTATAGAAAGAAGGATTTTATCACTGATATTCATCAATCCTGAAATATAATGAAAAAAATAGACAAATAGTCAAACAAGTCAGCCTTTAAATTAAAAACAACATAAAGCCTTAGTAACTTAGCGGAAAAACTCATACAAGGTGATGGAGGTCATGTAATTAAACCAAACCCAAACTTTTATCACATATTACCCCCCAACAAATTAAGTTTTACTATTGTCATGGATTAAAACAAGATTAATTTTTATTTACTAGTAAAGAAAAAAAAAAAAGAAAGGAGGGCTTATTAACTTCCTTCGCCTGAAACGAGGGGTTTACTAAAATAAAGAAAGGGGATGCAAGCTAATTATTGAGAGATGAGGCTTAATAGGGGTGTTATGGTAATATTTAAAAAGCACATAAACAATTTTCAACAAGAAAAATAAGAGTCCTACCAAAGTCATATGGAAAAACTTGGTAAAGGCCTTTACACTTTCCACATTGTTTTACAGAAATCTTAATTGGCTGCAGAGGAACACAATTGGTAAGAAGATAGACCTGACTCTCCTTCCTTTTGTCCAGGGTGTGGACGCGAAGCCCCAAGTGTAGCACCACGTAACACACACACTTCTTCTGTGGGGCTATCGCTTTTAGGCCAGAAATCTCCCCCAAGCCCCAAGGAGATAAATCTACTGTCCATCTCCTGAATTCTTATTAAAATGTGACTAGGTATTTCATAAGGAAGTTCACGTTTGTAAGTTGATCTTCACTGTTGAAATAGACATGTCAGACTGTTGATTTGGGGAGAGATGAATTGTTTTGATTAGCATATGTTGAGCCAGCTTCATGTGGAACAGAACTTTGTAACAGGCCATAAAAAGACGTTGCAGAAGGCAACTCCAATAAAATCAGAGTGGATTGAGTCAAGGCATATGTCGAATTATTCTGATGATCAAGAACTGAATGGATGTGATTAGGCAGCATTGGGGCTACGCAGTTGGCAGAGGAAGAGAGAGCTGGTTTTGAGGAGGCTGGAAGATGAGGATCAGTTGAAGGTACCGCAGAATTTATACCATGAGGGGCTTTTACAACAAATGATAGACCATGTTGATAACTCGGAGCTGGTGAACTGAGATTAGGTGCTGCTGGGTCCTGGTGGCAACTGGTGGAAATAAGTGGTCGACAATGGCCTGAAAGAAAATGATCATGAGATCCAGATGGGCCTGATGATGATAATGAAGATGATAATGAAGAAGATGATGATGATGATGATGATGATGATAAGACTGATGGTGGACTTTGGACCCTTTTTTGTGGACTCGGCGACTCAGACATGTGGACGTAAGGACCATGGTGTTCACTTTGAGACTTGGCGTTGACTTAGGACTTCCGGCAAAGTGGACTTGAGGACCTTTTGTGGACTCAGCGACTTTTTGTGTTGACTTAAGGACTACGATATTGTACTATCTTTACTATCCCTATATTATTCATTCTATCTGTTTTTGACAGACAGTTCTATTGCACTTGAATAACACAAGTTGGACAAAACTTCTGAATAGATGTGACTGTGAGACCATCACTTAGCAGCCTTTGGGAACAATACGATCAAAATGAGCGAAGAACAAGAAAAGTTATTACGTTATGAAATGTAGTGTAATTACAGTCTATGACCACAGTGTATAACAAAAATTATCCATTATTTCAGTTATTTTTTTCCTTAAAACAATGTAATGAGAACAGCATTTGAGAAAAATGGGCTAGAGTGGCTTTCAATAGCAAATTTATTTTTTTGGCCACTGTCTGTGAAAACGAAAAACATCCCTAAACGTTCCGCGTTTGGCATTTCCACTAATTTCTGTTGGGTTCTAAACGATGTTCATCTCAGTTGTGTCAAACTTCAGACGAGTAAAACTACTAGTAAGTGTCAATTTGAAAGAAACTCTAATGCAAAGGTAACACTAATCAAACGTTTATTGTTACATCCGAGGGCAAAACTGGTGGTTGATGCACCAGAGGCCACAAGAATACTATAGAGATTTTGTAAAATCCAACTACTGGTCTATTACCAATGCTGTGTTCTGATTG